TTAGGGACTGATGTGAATATATAATATATGTAAAGCGCTGTGTAAATTGATGGCGCTATATAAGTACCTGAAATAAATAAATGTGCAGCACTCAACACACAAAAAACATTGGAAAATGTTTTCTGTTAGTTGCGCGCTGCACTTTTTATTGAACACTTTATATGAAATGCCCAGTATCAAGGTATAGTGTCCAGCTGCTATTAGTAGGTTTTTAATTTCTTTCTGAGCGCAGATTTTTCATTCATTTTTTCATTCTGAGCGCAGACCTTTTCTGCATGTGTGTCCTTGGTTGGTGACTCAAAGCACTGAAAAGAGTCAGCATGACAGCCAGGCAAGTAACATGCACAGAATGAGGAGTTAGTAATGGCAGTATTCAGGTCTTACTTGGTAAAGGTTTCCTTTTAAGCTGGGTACACACTATAAGTAAATTGGGTGTATGATCGTCTGGTTTTCCTCGATGTTTCACAGCAAGTCGAACCTGAGGATGGTACTAATTGTACTAAAATTCTCAAACGACAAAGGCTTTTTTTTTTTTGTTTGATGTAGAAACGTTGTAGCAAAGATTATTGTTGTTTATTGTTTCTGATCAGTCTTTCGTATCTGATTTTTCTTGTACAAAAGCAGTACACATTAAACAAAAATCATTAGTTCTGTTCACATACGAGAAAAATTTTTAGTTTTTCCCTTCGGAAATTTTTGTTTGGAAAGTCTGAATAGGATGTCGAAAGTTGTGTACACACTATACGAAAATCAAATTATTGTTCCTCTGTACGGAATTTTTCTTATGCTTTTCTTATAGTGTGTACCCAGCTTAAGAAGATCTGCTAGTATTATTTCCACTGTTCTTCATTAATATTTCCATCCAAACAGGTTTTAGGAAGAAATGGTACAGGAGAGAGTAAGTGAATAGTGTTAGAGAGGACAAGGCAGGATACTATTGCTTTCCAATACTGTAACAATATATAGAATTCCCACAACAAATGCAAGTCTTAAAGTGGAACCTTGCATAAACATTATAATGCAGGCTTTTTATTTTGCGAGAGATATACTATGTCTCTTCCGTAATAAAGGATTCTTACCTGATATTTCATAATGTTCTTGGCAATGTACATAGAGCTGTGCATGTCGGGTGCCTGGCTAAATGAACTCCCATGCATGCACAGTCATAATGTAATTCCAGGACAGCGAATTATGATGGCCAAAATACTGAACCCAGAAGAAAGATGTTGGAAGTACGCAGAAATCGCATTGCTTGAGCGGACCCGAGTACAATTCTACTTAACGCCACCTTATGATGTAGAGAGTTAGTCCATTTCAAAGGTCAGCTGAAGATTTCCTCCAAAACCAACTCATTAACATCTGGATTATTTCCCAGCTATCTACTTTTGGTAACTTGCTAAATTTAATTTTCACAATTTGTTAGAACTGTAGATGAAAAAACATTCATTTTCCTTTCTATGTGTATTCCTACGAGGGTCTTTCCTTTTGGAACTCAACTATTCCACTTTGGAAATTTAAAACATAACTCCAAAATTGCTGGAGCAGATCGAGCTTCCTTTCTTTTTTTGTTGTAAAACAAAAAAATATATAGATTGATCCCTTTACAACTAAAGCTGGGACATACACCATTGCTTTAAGGATGAGCTTCTGCAAACTGCTAAACATATACAGTAAATTGTATTCCAGTCTTTGCCAACCAGCACAGACAGTTCCTAAACTTTTTTTCTGAACACTGCATTGCACTGTTTAATATTCAAACATATTCATGTACTTGTGCTACCTTTATGTAAACATACATACCCCCATACTTACAGTTTAACAAATGGATCAGAGTAACCATTAGCATCCATTGCTGCCAAATGTACACATCGGATAATGCCAACAATAAGCCCTCCTTGCTGAGTATTGTACATCAAAGAGACCAGAATTTTTCCTCTGTCTTCTACATCTCCACCACGATCTGTCTGCAAAGAGGCAAAAGCTGCTGAAATGCATTCAAGTTCATATTCTAGTAGTTTGTCATTTTTTTTGTTTTGTTTTTGGACAATTGTATTTTTTAATGTTTAAAAGTTTAGGTCATTATATATATTTTTTTATTACTTGTACAAAATCTGTATTTTACAAACATTTAATTCATGGTGATTTCATGTCATTTACTTTGCAGGGAATGCTAGACAGCATTGGCTGCTCACTTTTTGACTAAACCAGTCTAACTGAAAGTCAAGTATGATATAGGAAGGAGGGGAAAGGGCTATGTCCCTTTTTAGGACATATACAGCAGGCTATTCAGAAAGAGTGCACCATAATGACCTCATGAGTTAGAACATTAATATTTGCAATACAGTTAGGTATTTGCTGGTGGAGAATATCCCAGCATATATAAAAAAGGAGGATTGAACTACTAACAGAGCAAGATGTTAGCAGATGTGGAAGTGGGGTCAAGCTATGAATCCCAGCTGGTAGATGGTGTAAAAGGGGAGGACATTATTTACCTCATGGGAGTCTCTGTAATACTAGAATAAATTCTGAATTCTGAATCCCTGCAAGTAACTTAAAAAGGGGCAGTCCAATACTTGCACCAAATCCTTCTTTTGTTATTCATTTCAGTATTTAACCCCTTCCACCAAAAGGACATACTCTACATCCTCTGGTTGATGCAGGTATACCGGGGCCATGGCTGCAGTATTGTGTTTTATACCTTCCCACTGTCTTTCCGGGCTTTCCCCCACCCCACTGGGTAGCTGGGAATGGTTCGGCCGGCTTACCATAGAGATGATTGAGGACCGGAACATCTCTATATTCTATGAAACCAGAAGCGACAAGTATTTTATCATTTCCGATTTCAGCTGAAGTAAACAAGTCTGTAAAAGCATTTGTTCAAACCGATGCTTTTAAGGGCCGAAGAAAGATCTGGGGTCTAATAGACAGCAGATATTTTAGTAAAGGTCACTGGGCACATGCTGTCACAAAGGATGTTATTCATACCTTGTGATAGTATTAAAGTTGATTTAAAAACAAATTATGAGACAGTGTAAAAAAAAAAAAAAGAAAGAAAAGTTAAATAAAACACATAATAAAATAAACAGGTATCTATTAACTCGATGTAACATCATCTTTTATATTTAACAAACAATTTGGTATTATATTGTGTTTTTGTGCATTGAAATTTACTTAAAGCGGAGCTCCACCCAAAAGGATTGGCACCTTTGAGGGGCGAGGGTGGAGCGGGTACCCAAATTTGACAGGTACCAGCTACCACTTCCGGTCCGATCGCCCCGGCGAATCGCAAGCAGAAGGTGTCCTCCCTCCCTGTAGTCTTTTGGGACAAGTTACAGGTCCGAGAAAACTACAGGACCATTCATGAAGCGCAGCGCTACTCGCCCCTGCACAGTGGGTACCCAGCTGTGAAGCTGCAAGCTGTCACAGCCAGGTGCCCACACTGAAGATGTCGGCCTCCTGGAACACAGGACGGCCGATGAAACGGGCTGCAGGGGACACACTGCGACACAGAGGGACAGGTTTTTTAAAAGTCAGCAGCTACAGATAATGGATAATGTTCAGGGGTTCTAAGTAATTTTGTAGCAAAAACATTTAGATTTTTACATATACTGTCTGATGCTGAAGTGGTTAATTTGCTTTGCAGCTATTGCTTGACATTGAGTGGTGTTGAACTTCTTGTTAAACAGTATCTCCAAATCCTTATATGAATCTGTTCTCCTGAACTGAACCCAATTGCATAAAGAAAAAAGAAAAAATGAAAACCAACAGTGTATCAAGCATCTGCCCAGCAATAGGCTATGTAGCTGTTTTGATACTTGTTGCTATGCAGCCAGTTTAGTAATTTGTTACAGTGTGATGAGTTTAGTTATGGGCTACTATGTGAAAAGGTTACTAGTTACTGAGACAAATTAAGGTGTTTATTATTATTTGACAAGTTTAGTTTGCCTTGATTTCTGATTTCAACTGAAATAAACATCGGCAATTGTTGATGCAAACCAGCTCTGATTGACTGTGCACCCTGCAATCACAGACATGGTGAATACTGCAGATGGCACTTGAAATTACTGCACGTGCTGCAATCAAAAGGTATACGGCTATGAGAAAAGACACTGATAAACCAAGTGCCAACTGATTACTCACATTGAATATTTGCTCTCCGTTACACAGCAAGCCAATCCTTAAATTATGCCTAATTTATGTCTGGTTTTGTTTCTATCATACCCTGATCTGTAAACTCTAAAAATATTACAAAGGTTTACTGAAGATTACAGGTATATTGTGCCAACCAGCAAAACAATTGTCACCTCTTTTCTAAAAATATGATTGTCTCTGCATACATCTTTATTCTAGTCTCCTGGTTTTTATCTTCCTGCGAATTATACTGTATGTTAATAGAAAATCTATTAGAAACTATCATGGAATTTAATAAAGCACTTTGGACACTCTTCTGGCAGTATGGTCTCTTAATATAGCCTGGACCAGATTAAAAAATCTGGTATCCTTACTGAAATGTGTAAAAGATTCAGGTAGTTCTTAATAGTGCCAATTTTACAAAATTACACTCCTCTAAATTACATTAAATTCAAAATAGATGATTACTCTGAAAGTAAATAAGATTCATGTTCAACAAGTATATCCACTTGCTGACCATTCACATACAGTGCTCAGCATAAATGAGTACACCCCAACAGATTTGTCAGAAAACCTGTACTTTCTTTTCAGAAACAACATTTTCTGTGGGACACTATACTACAAAATACTCCCACAAATGCAGGCCATTGATTGTAAACAAGACTTGCTCATTTGCACACACAAAAAAGTATTTTCCTAACAAATTCATTCTAGACCATGTTGCAAAAATGAACACATCCCCATGAAAGCTAAATTTTAGACAACAAAATCCTAATGAACAAGAATTCAACAACAGGTGAGTCATCATGATGGCCTTTTACCACGTGATCAGCTGTGTCCAATGACACAGCAGATAACTGGTAAATATAGTTTCCGGCTATCCGCTGCACTTTCCTCACGCTGTCACAGCGTGAGGAAAGTACTGCAGAGAACCGGCAATTGTCAGCAAAGGGATCGGCACTGATCATCAGGGCACTGATGATAAGTGCCCTGATTATCAGTGCCCAGCACTGCCACCCACCTGTGCCCATCAGTTCCACCCACCTGTGCCCAGCAATGCCCCCATCAGTGCTAACCACCTGTGCCCAGCAGTGCCCTCCATCAGTGCCACCCACCTGTGCCCAGCAGTGCCATCCATCAGTGCTTTCCATCAGTGCCACCTATCAGTGTAGTATCATCAGTGCCAGCTCATCAGTGCCTCCTAACAGTGCCCATCAGTGCTGCCTATCTATGCCACCTCATCAGTGCCCATCAGTGCTGCCTATCAGGGCAGCCTCATCAACACAGATCAATGAAGGAGAAAAATTACCTGTTTGCAAAATTTTATAATAGAAACAAAGAAAAACTTTTTTTTTTTTGCACTTTTTTGTTTATAGTGCAAAAAATAAAACACCCAGTGGTGAATAAATACCACCAAAAGAAGGCTCTATTTATGTGAAAAAAGTTATAAAAATTTCATATGGGTACAGTGTTGCATGACCGCACAATTGTCATTCAAAATGCAACACCGCTGAAAGCTGAAAATTGGCCTGGGCAGGAAGGGGATAGAAGTGCCCACTAGGCAAGTGGTTAAAGACGACATCAGTGCCACGAATGGACTTTAGCTGTGGCTGGCAGTGGCAGGGTGACAGTTGCAGTGAGTGGAGAATGATGGATCCACACTCTGACAGATCCCTGGCTAGAATTCCCCAGGCAATGGGAGTAGATAAAACACTGTGACAGCAAGCAACACACACGACCTGAACTGAGCAATCCCACACAGATCTGGCAAAGCACACCACCATTGACACTGCCAAAGATCAGCAGGCACCTTAAGAGCAAGATGTGGAATCGTGATGATGTCATCACTCACTGTCACATTGCACATGTGATGGATGGCCAGCTGACCGGGTCAAACTCAGACATCAGAGTCAGGCACTACCTTCCTCCACAGCCTCCGCTCCACTTGTGCACGCCTCCACTGATTAGCAGCCACCAGCCGGCTTGCAGTAAGTGACTGAGTCTGAGAGGAACACTGATAGAAGCGGCAGCTCAGCTGCTACACTGGCCCCAGACACCCGGCATTTTCCTCTGTTCCTTTCTCCCTTCTGCCACCCCCTCTCCCCTCAACTGAAGGATCATTCATGACGTGGCGGCGTCCCACACAGAAATAGTGCCAGTCTGTGCTGCGCCCAGAGGTAGCAGTGAGCCCTAGGTGGCTGCCTAGTTTGCCTAGTGGAAACACCAGCCCTGGATGTAGTAGTTTTTGTTGTGGGGTGTATTCATTTTTGCATCAAATAATATGAGTAAAACTGAAGATTTTGTAATCTAAGTTATATGATTAACTTTACTTTCATGTAATGAGCTAAACCAGGGGTGGGCAAACTTTTTGACTTGAGGGCCGCAATGGGTTCATATATTGGACCCGGGGGCCGGACCAAGAGTAGATGAATGATGTGTATGTGTCATCCATAGTAAGTATAGTAATATTCCCCCATAGTAAGCATAGTAATTAATCCGCCATATAGTAATTCATCCCCCATAGTAATTCATCCCCATATAGTAATTCATCCCCCATAGTAATTCATCCCCCATATAGTAATTCATCCCCCATAGTAATTCATCCCCCATATAGTAATTCATCCCCCATATAGTAATTCACCCCCCATAGTAATTCATCCCCCATAGTAATTCATCCCCCATAGTAATTCATCCCCCATATTAAGTCCCCAAGTACCCCCTGTGTCAATTCACTTACCTTTGCTCCGCGCGTTCCTCTCGCCATGTTCCCGCGCCGTTCCAGTCTTCAAGGCGGACTGTGAGAGGAGCCTAGCTCCCCTCACGTTCATCACGCTGCCCCGCCTACACACATCCTGACAGCCATCCTGACAGCATCACGCTCCGCGGGCCGGATTAAAAGGTCCGCCGGGCCATATACGGCCCGCGGGCCGTAGTTTGCCCATTGCTGAGCTAAACAAAAGTCCTATAACACTCAGTTTTGTCAAAATTTTGGAAATTGTTCTTGTGTTCACTGAGATATTGATTAAAATATTACTTTTCAAAAGGGGTGTACTCATTTATGCTGAGCACTGTACCTGGTATGTCACCAGTCTTAAAGTGGTTGTACAGGGATGATGCCTGCAGCTGCCGGATTCACCCCAGTACAGTTTTTTTAGAGCCAGCTCTCTTGTAATAGCAATTGGAGGGATTAACTTTAATAAGCATCGTGGGGGTGCCCACCTTCCCACTACCTTTCGCAGCATGCTCGGTGCTTTCCCATGCCATTGGTAACCTGAGTGACCAGCTGGCATGTCTGCTGGTTGGTTGGACAGCCGAGCAGAGCCGGAATGGCAAAAAGTGCAGCAATCTGACCCAAGTTACACCTAATGCCATCTTTATGTACCAGTACTGATAGAGCAGGAGTGACTTCTATAGCGTTAACATAGCTCATGGTAACGCACAATGCAAACTCTTAAAAGAATAAGAACAGGAATTTGGTTCCTTGTTTGTAGTGCATCCTACGTAATCTACAAGTGGACTTGCCAAGCAACATATACTGCATGCCAGAAAGATCAACACAGTCCACTTGATCAGAGGTCCATACGAACACTTGCACATGTGCAAAGTTCTGCTCACCAAAATGTGCACGAGCTTACAGAATTGTGCATGTTCACACTTTTGTGTGGACACATTAAAGTGCACATCTCACAGCATGTACAAGGGTGTGTGTGTGTGTGCACATTCATTGCAAATAATGGCTTCAAGCAGGCTATTTAAGGCAAGACTCTAGAGTTGAGAGATCTTCAGCTGTACTCCGTGACTTGCAATTCTGCAACTGATCTTAATCTCTGTAACCAACCCAAACCAACCCAAATTGTTCCATGACCCCTTTGATTCTCCTCTGTCTGCTGACCTGCTTCTATATTGACTTCAGTTTGTTATCTGGCTTTGATTTCTTCCTGAGACTTTCATATCTTGCTTCCAGTAAGCTTTTGATCTGGCTTGTACCTGATTCCAACTCTGATTGTTGTATTGGTATTATCTTGCTGTTGCTAACCCTGGATTTTTCCTTTACTCTTCTTGTTGGTAACTCATATCTCCCGTCACCTCTAGCCACATGATAGTTCTCTAGAGTTTTAAGGGCATCAGTGGCCTCACTATCTACTACCACTGGTGCCACGCCTTCATCCCAACACTCTCTCCCACTACTTTTGCTTGGTCTAGAGCACTATTAGAAACAGCCCCCCATGAACTCCCCATAAAGATACGCAACAATATATTTTGCAAAGTGGTTGTTGTATTGCTCTTCATTGTATAAAAAAAAAACTGTAATATATACTTGAATTTGAAGAGTTACATTAGATCCATACATTGTGATGAACATATAATTATTCCCCATAGAAGCCAAAATTAAAAAAAAAATGTAATTTTTTTTTTAATTGTATCTTTTATTGAATTTTTTCCCAAAACAAGAGTAGTAAATAGAAACTTCACCAAAACATACAGTTCATTTAAATCAACTTTTCTCCCCTCCCATTACTCCAATCCATATCCGAGTTCCTAGCATCTATCTTTTCTCGTGATTTTCTATTTATATCTGTATCCCTTCCATCCGATCTCCTTCTTTCTATTGGGTACTCCATTAGTGTTCCTTCTTATGCTCTTCCCTCTATATTCCAACCAGTTCCAAATTGGTTGGAATATAGTTTTAAAAACTTAACCAGCTACCCCACGTTTTCCTAAAATTTTCTATTCTATCCTTTTCAATATGATACAGCTCCTCCATCATGTAGATATTCTCCACTCTATTAACCCAATCATTTAATTTTGGTGGATATGGGGCCAGCCAAAATTTGGAAATCAAGCCCTTAGCTATGCTGATTAAATGATATAGTAGCTTCAAATTTATAAAATAAACATACCCACGATTCTCTCTGTACAATAATCCCACATAATAACCTTCAAGCATGCATTCTTATCTTTAATCCATTTCCCTGAAATATTATCCTTCCCTGGGGGGGGGGGGATTATTCCATCCCCGTCAAGGGAATCATGACTGAATTATATTCCCAACGCTTTTGCTTGTAAATCCTATCCCAAACACGTAAAACCTTTTTTGTCAGTGGACTAATATTCACATCTGATGTACAAAATTTATGTGGTACCCAAACCACCTTCCCTAACTGTGCCTTGCTCAAACTCCCTTCCGTATTCACCCAACCTTTCTCTTGTGAGTTAAATATCCAATCTAATTTCTTAACGTTAGGCAAACCCAAACCCCCACTCCCCTTAGCCCTACACAATACCTCATACTTAATTCTTGGTTTCTTGTTTGCCCAGATGAACTTAAGTATCATCTTCTTTATTATCCTGAAAAAAGTTCCTGGAAGGTGAATTGGGAGCATGTGAAACTTATACAGGATTTTTGGTACTATCACCATCTTTACCAGGATTTTATACGGTCTATCCAAGAAGCTCCACCTTTTGACAATCTCCTTAGCTCATCTTTTATTTAATTTAGTAATTAAATGTAATTTGCCTGGTACAGGGTTTTCATTGAAAGAGTTAGTTTTCTCCCCAGAAAGCTTATTTCCTTTTTCCTCCAAGTAAAGGGAACATTTTTTTGTAGACTCATCTTGTCGACCTTTGGTATATTGATGTTTAACATCTCTGACATTACGGGGTTTATTTTCAAATTTGATAACTCACCGTACTGTTTTATGTCTCATTAAATTAGGCCACTTTATCTTCCACTTCGCCTATCTTTATTCCTAAAATGTCTACACACTTTCTTACCTTCGCCAAGACTGGCTCCAGGGATAAAACAAACAATGAAGGGGAGAGTGAACATCCTTGTCTAGTTCTGTTAAACATTTAAAAAAACTGAGAGAGGGATCCATTAACCTTAACCACTGCTGACGGAGCGCTATACAGCCATTTTATCCACCTTAACATTTAGGTCCTATTCCTAAGACCTCTAACGTATCAATCATAAAGCCCCCGTTAACCCTGTCAAAAGCCTTTTCAGCATCAATTGACAGGAATAATGTTGGCAGTTTCTTTCTTTTTTCCCTTTGTAGGAGGAGACATTATCTCAAGCCATTGTCCCTCCCTTCTCTTCCAGGAATGAATCCTACCTGATCCAGGTGTATCCACTCCGGCATCAACTCCTTCAATCTAGTTGCCAATACCTTGGCATACATTTTGGTGTCTATGTTTAGTAAAGATATAGACCTGTAACTGGCACACTGTGTGCTATCTTTCCCTTC